CTCTCAGTCTTTCAGGTCACAGCCTCCAGCTTGATCCCTAACCATGTTATTCCAAATACCCTATCTTCTTGAGTGGATTTCCCAAGGAGTGGGAAATAAACATTTATTGAACACTGACTTGGGGGCCTGACACTCGTGCTTCACTGTCCCAGTTACTCCCTAACAGTCGTGCTGATGATGGAACTGTGACTCAGAAAAGCTAACGTTAGCCTGAAGTCCAAGCTCCCTCACCCATCTGGGCACACTCAACTCACTGTCCTAAAAGGGCATTTTGCTGGCATTCTGGAGACCTGTTCTATAGCCAGACCTGTGACTACTAGTATTTATAATTTATTATTGATAGAACTGTAGCTATTTACCTGAGTGACCAGGTGGGCAATTAACCAATGTTGGGCCTCGGTTCTCTCATGTAATGTGATTTTTAAGGTTCCTTTCTGCTCTAGAAGTTCTGTTCTTGGCCATTTTCCTAGCATTGAACTGTATACTGTGTACTGAATTCTACAGTGGAAAGTATTCCTACCTTCAGAGAATATCCAGTCTTGCTGGGGAGACAAACTCCAGAGAGAGACATGAATAGCTAGCAGAATGTGGTTGCTTGATGTTCGCCAGTGTCATGCCATCCAGACTCTGGGTCTTTATTGTCCCTTCCACCCCAATGACACCCAAGCCTCTTTCTCTAGCCCTAGCTTCTTTGTTGAGCTTCAGACTCACAAATCTTGACTATGTACCAAACAGAGACCAGCACCTCTCCCCCAGTCTGCTCCTTCTCTTTCTCCAACTCCATAAATAGCTGCCCCACCTGGCTGCTACTCTTCATCCTCCTCCCAATACCAAGTCCCCTACTTTTACCTGCAAAGCAGTGACTAACCTCAGCCCTTGTCATGGCTTATTGCAAGAAATGGATGACTCATTTCTTAGCCTCTAATCTAGTGTCCTACCTGCTTCATTGACTCACCATAGTTTTTAGGACAGAGTTCAAAATACTTAACCCGTCATCTATTCAATCAATATTTATTGAGCACTGACTGTGTCGCCAGTGACCAATCTCAATGCTTGGGATAGAGTGGTTTACCACACAAGTTCCTCAAGCAAGTTCTTCATGGAACTTGCATCTTAGTTGGCAGAAATAGGTCATAAACCATTGAAAAAATGCAGCACATGACATGATTTCAAGTTATGCTATGGTTCCTGACTGTCCCTGCTCCTCTTGGGCATCATCACTGCACCTGCCACTATCATCCAGGTCTTTTCTTCATCACATCACACTTCTTCCCACCTCCCGATCTCTGCTTTTGCTGCCTGAAATACTAACAATAATAGTAATAAGAATGGCCGAAACCAGTTTGGCTCAGTGGATAGAGCATCGATCTGTGGACTGAAAGGTCCCAGGTTCGATTCCAGTCAAGGGCATGTACCTTGGTTGGGGGCACATCCCCAGTGGGGGACATGCAAGAGGCAGCTGATCGATGTTTCTCTCTCATGGTCTTTTCTAGCTCTCTATCCCTCTCCCTTCTTCTCTATAAAAAAAACAATAAAATATATTTTTAAAAATAGTAATAAGAATGATAATGATAATGAACTACATTTATATAGTTCTTTAGTATGCTCCAGGAACTATTCTGAGCTTTTCAAATATATTAAAATAGTCAAATCCTTGTGAGGTAGGTACTATTTTTGATCGCATTGTACAAAGAGGACATTGCACAACGTGATTAAGTAACTTGCCTTGTTCTAGGGATTTGGGCTATCTCACTGAACAACATAAAGATGCCTCATTTTTATTAGAGAAGGCAGACAATGAACAAAATAAGTAAACTGTATACAATCCGCACTATGGTGAGAATGCTACAGAGAATAGTGAAGCAAAATAAGAAGGGTTGAAATGGGAATTAGAAGTCAAGGAGACTCAAACACCATAATCTCCATAATCTAGGCCTAACTGCATTCCATGCCTTATTCTTAGGGCCATTTTTTAAGTTATTTACATTTCAAATTTTTTTCTTTAAAAAGAAATTTGAATAGCTGGACCAATTTAAAAGGTTCGGAGGCAGTGAATTATGTTGAGATCAGCACTTAATATGTCCCGAACACTTTTTTTCTCTTTTCCTAAGAGCTTCAACTTTTTTCTCATTTTTCAAATTTTATTGGGAAATAATTGAAATACATCACGGTATATGTTTAAGGTGTACAGCATAATGGCTTGATTTACATATATTGTGAAATGATCATCACAATATGCTTAGCAAACAGCCATCATTTCATAGAGATACATTAAAAAGAGAAAAATTTTCTCCTATGATGAGAACTTTTATGATCTATAAACTTATCAGTTTTCTTATGTGTTAGCTACATCACCATGTTGTCCTATGTACTATGTACATGACATTCCTAGTAATTATCTCATAACTAGAAGTTTGTACCTTTTGACCTTTGACCTTCCTCCAATCCCCCCCCCCCACACACACACACACACACCTGGCTTCTCACCACAAATCTGACCTCTTTTTCTGCAAGTTTGCAGGGCTTTTAAAATTAGATTCTTCATATATGTGAAGTCATGCAGTATTTATCTTTCTCAGTCTGATTTATTTCACTTCGCACTATGCCCTCAAGGTCCACCCATATTGTCGCAAATTCTGCTCTCACTTAGGCCAGCTGCCCTGGCCACATTTCCTCCCTCTGGGAGATTTCATTTCCTCATCTGTATTATGGGTAATCCTGCTTAACCTCACAGAGCTGCTACAGGAATAAATGAGACCAGGGCCCTCCACAATGTTGGTTCTCATCTTCCTTTCCCAGGCTCTTAAACTCAGAATCCCTCAGGTGTCACCCACAGAATCAGTCACCTCTTAGATCTGGGTTTAGTGTGTGATTGCAGGGGTTTTCTACCCAATGTACCTGAAGTCTGGTCATTTTATTCAAACTAATAGCAGGGGAGAAATAAAAGTCAACCTCTGTATATGAACAGATCTGTATATGTCCAGATCTGTATATGAACAGATAATTCAACATAGGGAAGAATATATATATATTATTTTTTAGTGGTAATGAGAGAAAGAACTAGAGAAAGGAGAACAGATTTGGATCCTTGCAAACCTTCCCCCAAAGTTCTCAAGCCCCACTCACCCATTATTCCCTCCCTCAGTCCACGGAGTGGAATGGAACAGTCTCACACACACAGTGGCTTGCCCTAGCTCATCTCAGAGACTTCAAGGAAATGACTCCAGAATACGACTTGGAGTGCATATGAAGTCATAAAATATTCATGCAAGCGGAAAATGGGCAAAAGTAAAAATGGCTGCCACCTGATGATGTCTAGCTACTGGACCAAGGGGAGCAGCCCCTTGTGCTGGTACAGGCAGAGCTGGTCATGGCTGTGCTGTCTCTATTCAGAGGACAAAATTCTCCCTGATGCCGTCCCCTCTTCCATCCCACCAGTTCCCAGCCAAATGTGAGTCTTTCATCACCTGTGACAGGGAAGCTCACCCCTGTCCGGTGGGACTTGTGGAGGCCAGTTCTCCACAGGACTCTCTCCCCCCACATCCCCTGACCACACACACGCACACACACACACACACCCATGGAGACAGGACCTCATGTTGGGGTTTTATTTTTATTTTACAAGAATATAACATGCTGTAACAGGAAACACAGGGATTGAGTACATCATCTGTATCTCGGAAACCAGCTCCAGTTGTCAACAATAAATAAAATATTTCAATAATGAGGAATTCCTGGCAGGCGCAAAGAGGTTCCCAGCTCGTCCCGAGGTAGAGCCTGGTGGGGGCGGGACACAGGCTGCCGGGTCCTGCTGAGATGCTTGGGGGGGTCGAGGCAAACTACAGTCACAATAATAAATAACAATAGCAATCACAACAATAGACAAAAAAATAACATGCTCTGGCAAGTCGTCACAGAACCAACAAGACGTTACAACTTAAATAATTGTCTCCTGGAGGAGCTCACAGTGCAGCGAGGACAGGGCTGACTTCCCGGGAACATGGGGCCACCTGGTCCATCACCTCCCCAGCCCTGGGCTCCTGCGCAGGCCCCGCCTCGGCAGGTTTGTTCGGCGATGCCCTGAGGTGACAGACAGGTTCTGATTTCCCTGGGGCCTGCTCTACCAAGCAGCCTCTCCCTCTACCTCCACTCCCAGCTTCTGGGATCCATCCGAGGGTCATCGTGGTCCCTCAACATTGCAAGTTAAGTGCACCTTGAGGGCGTATCCCAGCAGGAGGCCCCGCTCACGTGTGGACCCTGCTGCAAACACAAGGTCAGGCACCACCTACAAGGTCACCGAGAGCACCAAGATGCATTTCCCATGAGCAAGATGGCTTCTCTTCGGGGCTCTCTGCTCACTTGGAAGTGGATTCAAAGGTCAGTGTTGGAGGTATGAAAATCTCCCCTGGGGCCAGCATCACGCTGGTCCCCTGGCCTTGGAAAGACTGTGAGGCTGGACACAGGAGTGTTAAGAAGTACAAGCTAACGGGCCCTTGGGTGGCAAGGCAGGTGCGGCGGATGGAGCGAGAAGGGTCCGCATCCAGGGCACCCTCTTGTGCCCCAGACAGCCTGGGAATGAGGTGGATGGACGGGCTGTGCTCGGTCAGCCATACGGCAGGCAAAACCGCTGGCCCGGCTGTCTCCCCTCCCGTCTTTGAGCTTCCCTTTATTTACATTTCCCAAACCACCCTGGACTAGTTCCTGCTCCAGTGAGAATGACAAGAGCCAGGGATACCTCCTGCACTACCATCCCTTTCCTCAGAGAGCACCACACAGCTGGAACCTTCAGCCCTGACCCACAAGTCCTGGGAGTGGGGACGACCCTCTCATGCATCAAGTTCGGTCCCACAGTTTTCTGGAGGAGAGGCTGTTGCTTCCAAAACAAACAAAAAATCACAGCTTTTCCTTCCCTGTCCTCTTGTTTGCTTTGCAGAACCTGCTGGCCACACAAGGGGGCAGCTGCCTCAGGGCTGGGTGACTTAACCTCTCTTCCCGGAGGCTCAGGTGTGTGAGGGCTCTGCTGAGTTGCAGTTGCAGCTGCAAGGAGAGGCGCCGGTGGCCGAGGCTTGGGCAGCCAGGTCGTGGTATGCGGGGGACTTCAGGAAGCGTGGGTAGGAGTCTTTTTCCATCAGGATGCGTGTCTTCCCCTGAGCCACGTCGAAGCAGGTGGCCGTGGCAGCCTGCAGGTTGGTCCTGGTCAGCTCCCTGGTCTCGTGGTCTATGTTCACCTGTGGGGAGGAGGGCAAGCGCATGGGTGAGTGGGGATTGCGGGGCACGGGGAAGGGTCCAGCAGGTGGAGGGAGGAAGGCTGGCAGCTGGGGCAGTGGAAGGAGCCCTGGATTCTGAACCGGAAACCCGGGGTCTCCAGAGTCCTTTGCTAAGTGGCTTTCAACTCTGGGCCAGTCCCCTCTGCTGATACAGTGTCTGCCCTCCAATCTCTCAGAACCCTCAAGCATGTGCTAAGACTGTCCACAAGTGCAACCCCTTTTCAGCCCTTCCTCTCTAAAAACCACTCCTAGGTGAGTGCCAGGGCCTGATAGTGGGTCCTCCCCTCCCCCTCCCTCCTTCCCCCTCTTCCCCCTCTGGGCCCCCCCTCCCCCTGAACCTTTCAAACCCCAAGTCTGTCTGGTGGCAGCTCTCCTCTTCCCCTGTCACTCAGAGGAAAGCCAAAGTGCGTGCTGGGCCCACGCAGCTACCTGGACCCACCCCTGGCCACCTGCCACCTGTGTGACCTCATCTCCTATTCTCTCTCCCCCTCTCTGCACTCCACACAGGCCAAGGTGCTGGCTTGTGGTGATGACAACACTCTCTGGCCTTTGCACTTTCCTTTTCCGGTTCGGTGTGCTGTCCTCCCATAACTCTCATGTCTCTGTGCATGTGTCACCTTATCCAATGGCCCATCTCTCACCTCCCTCTGTAAGATGGAAAGACCTCACTTCCATCCCCCGGGGCTCCCTCCCCTACCTGCGTTATGTCTATCAGAGGACCAGAGCACCCCTGGCAAATGTTTATTTGTTTGGTTGGCTGCTGGCACCTTCTCCCATTAGGAGAGAGGCTCTGTTTGTTCACTGCCCATGACTATTAACGGGACCTGGCATGGAACAGATGCTCAATAAATCTTTACAGAGTAATGTGGACTAGATAAAAAGTGTCCACAAAATAAAATAGAAAGTGTGGCACTAAAAGCGAAGCATTACTCTCATCTCTCCACTAGGTGGCCCCATGTTCTTTAGCAAATGCGGGCGCCAGGCGGTGGAGGCCTGAGAGAAGCTTGCAAGTTCAATGACCTTCTGAGGCAGGCCAGCCGGGGGAGCGAGGCAGGTCACACAAGGTCCCTACAATGGGCCTGGCTCCCCAGTTGAGTGTTTTGGACGCTTCTAAAAATGGCTTAGTTACAAGGGTGGGTATGGACCGATGCCAAGATGCCTGCCCACCCCTTCAACCCTGTCATGGCCCCCCAGGGTGGCACGAAGCCCCCAATTCTCAGTGGGGAAGGAACAGGCAGGGTCTGGGGAATCTCGGGATCCATCTGGGCTCTGACCTCTTTGGGGGCTTCGCTGCCGATGAACTCCTCAAAGATCCTGTGCGCCCGGGAGGCCAGCTTGGTGGCCGACCGGATCTTCTTGAACTCCTCACAGGCCAGCCAGAATTCTAGGTTCTCCTCGCTGAACTCCGTCTTCAGGAAAGCATGGAAGGCAGCCACCCCGTCTGGGTTGGAGGGAGAGAGGAGGAGACTGGTCAGACTGAGGGAACAGCGGGGAATAAAAGAAGCAAAGACAGCCATTGCCGACGACGGCTCTATTTTTAGGATGCAATTTTCCCCAACAAGGACCCGCCTTTGTATTCTGAATAGAGGCTGGCACACCGGGGGATTATTTATTATTATTATTATTATTATTACTACGGCTGTTATCTTGCCCACCCTTTCAGCATCTCTCAGGCTGGTGTTCCCCCCCTCCCCCAAGCACATGAGCACACACGTGCCATCCACAGACAGACACCACAGGGTCCTACTCACTTTTACTGCTCAGCAGCATGTCGAACGACTCTCTCCATCCCAGCACATCTTCTGAGAAGTTTCTGTGCAAAAAAAAAAGGTCAAGATTTTAATTTAGCGAAGAAGGCCAACCCATTCATGTATAGCACAGACCCTAGCCAGAACTCGGATGGGAGTTGCCTAACCCACAGGAAGACTTGCTCAGTGATTATTGGAGCGGACTCCTTCAACCCTTGGTTGTGGGTGAGGGGGGACAGAAGTATTTTCTAGAAGGCAAGTCTGTCACCAGGAACCAAAGCCAGGCCCCGTTTGCTCCTCAGAAAATATCTTCTAAGGCGGACTCTTTGCTGTCCAAGATTCTTGCGTTTCCCCTGACTCTCAGGGTGTTGTTTTGTATGTTTTCCCAAGGAAATGAGGGCCTCGTGAATAAAGGTGTGTCATCCAGAACCCCAGAGCCTGGCACAGTTGATGTTCAATACGAAAGGGCTTTTAGGTGAGGCGCATACCCATGGAAGCAGAGCCATTGATTGACACCTTCAAGGGGTCTTGGACCCTGTCCGAGCCCTGGTTAAATGACATCTCCAGGTGGGAGAGTGTGAGAACTGGGCATTCGGGTCCTGAGTACACTCAACTGTACGCAGACTTAGAACCCCAGAGCCATCCTCCCAGTCACCCATGAGCCAGCAGCCATAGCGGACCAGCAGGAAGCCGGGGGAGGGGTCACCAAGGTTCTACTCCCCAACCCCTATGTCCTGGTTTCTCCTTGGATTCTCCTTCCCATAACTCCTTCCCTAAATCTGGCTCGGTCTCCTCTAGGGGCCCTGGGCTGGTCAGCAGGACTCACCGCTCTTTGCTGTGTTTGCTGTTCCCCTCAGACTTGCCAGCATCGGAGCTGAGGTCTGATTTGTGAAGAAAGATCCCCAGCCGGGTCTTGAACTCTTTGGCTCTGGAAGACAAAGCAGGAAGCATGTAAGGATTCTCCGTGTGCTCAGCCAGGGCAGAGAGGTTTGGGTAGGGGGTGAGGGGGAGATCTCAGAAGAGCTCAGACTGGGGAGCCCAGCCTCCAGGGTTCCTGGGAACGTGGCTTCTCTCCTTAGTATCAGGAACCCCCAAACCATGAAAGGGATGTTTGAGCCGGGCCTCCGTAGGTCTTACCCTGTCTGAGTTCACAGCACTTCGGACACTTAAGTCACACTGCTCTCGCCCTCGGGACAAGAGTGCTGAAAACTTCTGGAACTGTGTGGAAACTAATTCCTCCTCTTTACCTTGCCCTTCCCCGGCCACGAGCTCCAGCAAGGATTGGGGGCAGCTGAGCAGCCGCCTGGGAAGTGGATCCATCCCTCCTCACCTGCGGACCCCAAAACCACCTCCCTGCCTTCCCAGGGCCAGAGGAGGCCACGCCCCGAGGTGTGGGCTAGCCAATTAAAAAACCAAGGGCTTAAGAAACTGAGGGGGCCCGGTTCGGCTTGGGGATGCCAACGTGGTCTCCAGCGGGTCCGCTGAGAAGGACTGCCACTTGTCAGAGGCTGGAGAATGGCAGGAAGCAGCGGTCCCTATGTTCCCGCCTCTCTCCCCTGGGCTCTGTGCTTCTCTGAGGTCCCAAGGGAAGCGGCTGAGCAAGCGGCTGAGCAAGCGGCACCCGGGTGACCTCTGCCTCTCCCATCCATCCTCGGCCTCCTAGTATCCCGCCCACCCTGGTCCCCAAGCCGGCCGGCGCGCCCCCACTTCTTCCGGGCGGCGGGGCGAGCCCCTCTCACCTCTCCAGGCAGGTGGTGGGGAAGGCGGACAGGGTCCGGCACATGGTTGCGGGCGCGGGGCAGCACGGCGTGGGGGGACGGGCGGCGGGCTCCAGGGGGCACGGCAGCGCGAGGGGCAGAGGGTCCGAGAGGCAGAGGGTCCGAGAGGCAGAGTCCGCAGCGGCTGATGCTCGGAGTCTCGGGTCGGGTTGGGCTTTGCAGGCTGCACTCGCGGAGCCCGCGATCCGGCGGCTTTTATGCTCCCGGAGGAGAGGGGGCGGGGCGCACTGCTCGCCGCCGACCAATCAGAGAGCGGGACGGAGTGCCACTTAGGCAGAGGCGGGGCTGGGAGCCGAACCCCCTGGGGCGCCAGCGCAGGGCTGCACCCAGCTACCCGCGTGCAACCTTCACACAGGGATGCGAAGTGCGGGGGGAGCGGGGGTCACACGGGATAGCCTTCCTCTGGGCAGAGAAGTCCCAGGAAGATGAGACACGCACACCCCGTTACAGGGGGGAAAAACCCGCTGGCCTCTGGTAAAAGCTGGAACCAACGCAGAGGGAGAGGATGCTGGTAGTGGGGTGAAGGGTCTGGGAGGCACACGTGGTGTGGGTCACAGTCTGAGCCTGTTGGGCCCTGAAATGCAACCCCGGGTAAGAGAGCCTCGTGGTTATACTGGTGACTGCCACGTACTGTGCTCCTAGCCGGATGGATGGCCACTGGGCTAAATGAGGCCTCTACCCTCTCATCATCCCCTCCTTTCTGTGAGCGGAGAAACTGAGTCAGAGAGTGAAAGAGGCTTGCCTGAGATCCTAGAGTTGGGAATAGTGGACATAGGAAGGGAGGTGAGGATGGAGGGAGCAACTTACTAAGACAGGTTAAATAACTTGCTCCAAGTTACACAGTAATGATTTTCCCGTGTGTTTCCCACTGCTTCCTCCTCAAAAATAAAAGAAAGGAAGAAAGGAATCTCGGCACCTCTGTCACTGATGAGTGATCCTGGGTAGAAGAGCTGCTGATTCAGTGTCCTGGTCTCTGAGATGCAGGTGATGAATGCTTTCCTGGCCTCTCTCCTCACCTTCCCATCAAGGCCGCGCAACCTCCCCCCACACCGCATGAAGAGGCTGCTTGGGAGGCTGCCAATGTGGTGTTGAGAGCCAGATCCTGGCTGCAAACCATGGCTCCGCCATTGACGGACGGAAGACCTTCCTTGGGCAAGCCTCTTCATTTTCCCCGGCCTCGTTCTCCTCCTCTCTAAGATGAGAACATGCTATGTGTATTTCATGAGGTGGGTGTGAGGTGTAAATAAGCTAATTCTTAGTTTTCGTTTCCCAGGAAACAGGAAATTCAGTTCCTCGGAGGCAGAGACTGGCTGGGCAGAGTTCTTGGAACTCAGAGGGAGTGAGGGAGGTTAGGGTGGGGAGAGGGAGGTTAGGGTGGGCAGAGGGAGGCTGGGGTGGGCAGAGGGAGGTTAGGGTGGGCAGAGGGAGTCTGGGGTGGGGAGAGGGAGGTTAGGGTGGGCAGAGGGAGGAGGTGAATGCCACTTGCAGAACAGTCCCTTGAAGCTGTCCCCCATTGAAGCAAGGGTTCAGATACCCCCATCCCGGCCTTGCATTGGAAGCCGTTGCCACAAGAGATGGCCTTATATTAAACAAGGCAACTCTCTGTCGAGGGCCTCAGTCCCAAAGAAGGGATTTGGGTGGCATGCCACAGCACCTGCCATAGCATGTAAGGCTCTAAGACTGAGAAGGCTAGCCCCTGATTTTGTAAAATTACTGTTTGAAATTCTTTGCTATTAGATGATTAGATGCTGTGAGTCAACTCTATTAAATTTGCTCTCTAGCTGCTTGAATAATAGGGAAGATAAACTCGGCTGTCTGACCCTGTAGGCTAGTCATCTAATGTAAGGTCCGGAAAAAACCCTTATTTGGGAGACAAAGGGGGTGGAAAGAAATAAATAGGGAAAACTTCCTCCATGGTTTTGCTCAGAAATTTGGGCCCGCCGGCGTAATCAACAGTGTAACTCCATTTCTCTGGGTGTCACTTGGTTTTTCTCCCATCTTCTATAAGCATCATTTCTTCTGAAACAAGATCCGTGCTCAGCACATGGTCAGCACTCAATACACGTTAGTGCTCGGTTTCACTTAACACGGGGATTGCTAGACAGTAAGGAAAAGTAAGTACTGAGTTTTTTGTCTTTTGGAAGTGAGGTCTTTAATTCATAAGGAGGCATCTAAGAGTTCAATTCCTCAGCAAGACCTGGAAGTAAAGGATGGGAGGAAGAGAAACAAGAGGAAAAATGGTTCCTCACCTGAGAGAGCTCAGAAAACTCAGAAAAGCTGGTGGGGGGAGGAGAGGGAGAAAGCATTGAGGGGTGTGGAGGAGAAGGCCTGGGAGGTATCCTGGAGGCATTGCTAGAGCAATAGGCCCAACTCAGGACAGGGTTCTTATCCAGGCTGATCCCCTCATTGACCAGGGCCTGCAGCATCTGACCTAGTTCGCCAAAACACAATGTCCTCTGAGGAGCCAGAGTCAGCGCTTTCCCAACCTCCCAGCTGGTTAGCAGGATGGTTAATGGGGCTTCATGGGGGGGGGGGGGGGGGGGCGCAGGTACAGCAGCATCTCACACGTGGGCAGCACCACCTCAGCTCCCAGCATCCACCCTCACCCTCATCTCACCAATTTAGGCTCTTATGTAATATTCTCACACGTCCAGGGCTGGATCCGTGTGGGGCAGAAGATGGGCGAGGGTTGGGAGGGGCAGTGATGTGCAACCAGACAATGGAAGGATGTCTTAGTGAGCATCTGTTTCTCAGCATGGGCCTTCCTCCACGTGGGACGCCGCCCACCCAGCCCATCTCTGGTCCAGAGAACTCAGCTGGGGTGAGAGTTGTTGTTTCATCTGGGCCTGGTCAACCCCCGGGGCAGCTGCCAGGTGAGTATGTGGGTGTGTCTGGGACTGCTGTTCTTCAAAGGACAAAAAGGAGTGTATAGATAAATGAAAACCCAGTCTGGCCCTCAGCGGCACCCTGTAGGAATGAGCCGGGACAGGGCCACATGATAACAATCATCGGGTCCATGCAGAGACCCTTCACAAACCTTCTCTTCTGTTGTTTCCCTGCCACTGAGCCAGAGAAGCTTTCTATTTTCCATTCTGCAGACAACCAAGCGGCTGTGCCCCAGCCGCCCTCAGTTAATTGTTCTGGAACTGAAAACAGCTGAACCCTGGGCCCGTGCATCTCCAGATGCCTGAGCTAGGTCTGTCTCCCACTCAACAGAGAAAGCAAAGAGACAAAGGGAAGGTTGCACAGGGCACGGGCCTGCACATCTGTCCAATCGGTGAGCCCGGAGCTCCCTGCTCAAGATGAAGAGCCCTCCGGTGGCCATGGTTACCTCTTGGGTTTCCTGGCAGAAACTTCTTGAAGTTGATCATGTATCCCAAATTCTCTTCCCAGCAGGTGGGCCGGTTCATAGCTGCGATTTCGGTAATGACTCGATAGTTGCTGTAAATCCAGAAGGATGAGCTCATCTATGCATCGCGCTGGCTGTAACGGGACCTGACCTCATGGCTCAGCACCCTCAGCACAGCTGCCTTTTCTCTGGGGGAAAGTGTGGGGACCCGGCTCTGCAGCTGGGCCTTCTGGGGTCCGGATTACACATCTCACGGCGACCCAGCCACGTTGCCTTCCATCTCCTCCAGCCCCCCCAGATCCCCCCCTGCTCCACCCTTCCCACCAAGGCAGAGGTCTAGAGAGGACCCTTATAGAAGACAGTTGGGGGAGATGAAAATACTTCCTGGATTTGGCACAGACAATCCAACCCCTACATGGGTCTAGATCTCCTCATTTCAACCACCAGCCTACCGATACGTATTTATTAAGAATTTACTGTGTTCCCAAGTTGGTGGTGGAAGAAACAGCAGCCGTTAAGGCTCTTCCCTGCCTTCACTGACCTTATAACTGAGCGGAGGAAACCAACCTTGTGGGGACGGGGAGGGCCTGGGGATGAAAAGAAACCCTTGTCTGGCCTTGCAACAGATGTTCAGGGGAGGGAGGGAGCAGACAGGGTGATGGCGTTAAATAAAGGGGCGGCGGCTTGGGGAGTGAACGGGTATGAGAGCCATGGAACCTGCTGGACACACAGGAGGAAGCATGCTTCAGGAGGGAGAAGCAGATAGGAAGAACCGTAGTTTGGGGGTACAGGACAGGTGCAGAAAGATTTAGGAATTCCGGACACACAGGCAGAGGTGCCCACGCTTGGGAAGTTTAGAAACATAAGAGTGGCTGGATGAGGAGGGAGGGAAATAGTCCCTGGGGGCCCTTGCCCAGCTGGTGTGACAAAACCACGGGTGCCCCCTCTCCCCGGTGAGGGAAGTTGACGGAGTTCAGCCTGGGTGTAGGAAATGACTCTTTTCCCCTGGTTCTCCTCTAGGGCATTGGGGGCAGCTCACTTGGATGATTCCTCCCTGGTTTTTCTACTCTTTCCTCCCTCCCCACTCCCCTCCCTGCAGAGTCCACATGGGGTGGGAGTGTGGGAGACCTGCTTCTCTCTACCCAACCGGCCAATGGACCCCTAGCCTCCAAGGCAGGGCAGTCCCAGCCAGCGGTACCCATGGGTGCTAGGAACATGGTAGGACGTCTCTGTATGGCATATGAGGCTCCACCCACCTGATCTCGGGTCCTTCCCTTCATATCCTAAAACCAGGTCCATGCTGCCTGGGACTACAAACCCCTGAGGCCCCTCCCCTCCCCTGCCCTCCCTGTACAACTCATTTTAAAAGACATTTTCCAATACACTAATTTTATTTATATATGGACATATAACTTCCATAGAACAACACACAAAGATCTCAAGCGTTCAGTTCAATCATTTTTGGCAAATGTATACGCCCGTGGAACCAATCCCCGGTCAGCTATATAACATGTTCATCACTCTAGAAACCTCCTTCATGATACCCGAGTTCTCGGGCAACCTCTAGTCTGAATCCTAGAACCCCAAGACTGTCCTTGACTTTCCTGCTTATTTTCGAGGCCAAGCTCAAACGCGCTTTCTTATCCCCTCTTCAGC